AACCATTCTATGATTCTAAGTAACACAGTACTGCTAGAAAAGTCTTTATTCTCAAAAGAGATCACTGGTTCAAGATTGGAGTAGAAGAGCTTCTTTGAGTGAACATCATCCAATCAACATGCAGACTGCTGGAGGCACAGAGGCTGTGTTCAAGCACAGAACACAATCGCTCTTCTGCTCTTCCGTGAGACCACATCAAAGAGGTCAGTTACGGTGTTGAACTGAGCATTTGTCAGGTCATTTGTGAAACCAGCAGTCACAGACTTTTCCTAAAGAGAAGTACACTGCCAGCTGGACCCATCCAGACCATGTACCCACTTACAGCATGGTCCTTGGATTGGTTTGAATAATTCTTTGACCTGAGTTAAAAATATAAATAGTGACCACAGGTGATACTTCTCAGGTAAGAGCAGTCAGATTCATTAATGTAAAAGGGAAGAGGTTATATGAGCTAAAGGATAAATGAAAAAATGCTAAAGGGAAAACAAAAATCTAACTGAAAGCTCTTCTGTGACCCAGATTAATATTCATCAGTACATATCAGACAAATCCTGATATATGTCTCAAAAACTATGATGGACTTAAAATCCAGTTTTTAAAGTTATCATGAAAATATAATTTACTCCATTAAACCAATGAGACAATATTACAAAATTTAACAGCATCATAGAAAAAATTGCTTGGGAGTAAATAAAAAAATAATACCATTTTCCACTTGACATTTTAGATCATGACTTAAACCCCACCACAAACTTCCATTATGGTCTTTACTTAATAAACACAAATCAGACTAATTTAATTCCTGATGAAAGCTCATTATTTATAAATCATAACTATTACCTTTCCACCCCGAGCAGAATCACAGAAACCAGGAACAGAGTCCGTCGTAGTAGATGCAGGGAAGAAAAGACTATTGACATCATGAGGAAACATGGAAATTTCGTTCTGACGGTACATTCTGTGATGACGAAGTTTTGCTACCCATTCATCAAACAGCTCCTGAGATTTCACCTACGCAAAATTTCAGGTTTTATAACATTCATATTCAAAAATCACTAACAAAGAAACTAAAGTATTTTGTGCTCATTAGACAGCTAGCCTGGCTGACCTTTATTGGCAAAATATCAGGCAAGTTTTTCTAATGATATTCCTACTAAAATGCATACTGTATGAGCTTTAGTATGACAGAAAATTAATCACAGGATAAACTCGAGAAAACGACTGCTAACACAGAACACAATACTTGTCAACTTTTAGATGGGGGAAAAAACCCAATATAAAGTAAAAAAAAAAATTTCGCCATTTCTTAATTGCCATTCTTAAGGTTTAGTCAAGGTTTAACTAACCACAAATAGAAACTTGATTTTGGTAATGTATTTTAAAACAATTTATTCCACAAGGATAGATAAATCTACACATTTAACTGCAGAAAATATTTCCTATAGATAAGACAAAGAGCAAGACACAACTATTGAAAACAAAAGCACTTGTGCAACAAGTGCATAACCTTTGCATAAAAAAGTTCTGGGTGAAAAGCACGCTGCTAAACATGAGGCATCTTCAAAGTTTCTATTTAGAACAGGCTTACTGACTCCGGAACAGTACAATAAGACCTCTCAAGTTATAAAGTATAAACTAGTCTGACACTAAAAAGTTAAGTTATTGGTGTAACTAACAGACTTCCTGCTATTAAAAAACAAAATCTCCACCAAACACAGCTAATGTTGTTACTCTAGAAGCGAGGTTATAACAATCTTGGAAGTCTTACCTTCAGATGATATATCTGCTCTTCTGTATCCAAATCTATACATTTTGTCGATTTCTTTACAGACATAACAGAAAGTCCAACATCAATACAGCCATGAAGCTTCCCTCTCTCTACCTGCAAAAAAGTAAAAAGAATACAATCACTCCAGAATAAAGCAAAAGGATATATATTACCTGCTGAAACCATATTTTTCCCCTCTTCAATCTATCGTTCAGAACAGCTGAAATTCTATTTCCCATTACTAACAATATGGAATTCTTGCTATTTGGGATAAAACAGTGTTGTTACCTTATAATAGTCTTAAAGGTTTCAGATCACTTACATCAGCTTGGCATTTAGAATACTTCAAAATCCCTCTGTCCAAAAAGAAGTATCTCTGTAACCAGAAATGTAGAGAATTAAAAACAAACCAAACAAAATACCAAAAAAAATCCCAAACAAAAACCCCTTCCCCTTCACTCTGGTATTTCTTTGGAGAACACTTTCTCTGCTCTTAAGTAATCTTTTTGCCAAAAAACCACAGCAAGCAAGTCCCACTCACATGGAATCAGATTTTCAGATACACATTCCTTTCCTACCTTGTGCCAGCCCTTCAAAGGCCATTTCCTCTTTTTCAGCAAGCAGCCCTCCTGCTTCTGCGGCTCCTGGGTACAATTCATTGCTCCCCGAAGTCCTTCTACAATTTCCCAGCTGTCCTGCTTAAACCGAAAATCCAAATCTAGATGTTAGTATTTTCAAAGAACAGAATTGTGAAGAGATTCAAGAGGATGAAGGCTATAAGGAAAAGAACACCAACTGATGTTGAAATCTAACCTTAGATCCCTCTTTACATTTTGTTGAGTACCTTCCAAGAGACAAGTTTCTTTTTTTATTTTGATAGAAACAACAAAAACTAAACGAAATACTATTTTTATGACAGCATCCTTCATTGAATGTATGTACTTGCCAGAATTTTATATGAATGCTTTTCTGTACTTACATACACACGGTGTATAGTCACAGCTCAGTCACAGTTTAGCATAAAAAAAACCTTCTGCCATCACAGGCAGAAACAGCGTATGCTAACAGGATATATTTTGTAGATTATGAAGCAGAAGTAAAAGACACTGAAAATAAAGACCTTTTCTATAAAACTTTTTTGCTCATATTCAGTAACTCAAAGTTTTGCGTTTGGTGTGAATTGCAGCCTCCCTAAAGTAAAAATAAAAAAATAAAATAAAAACAAATTTTAAAGCCAGGGAAGTAACTCAAGTACTGTGAGGAACATGACATAAAGAGTACAAGAAAAATAAAAACGACACTTCATCAGATACGCCTCTAATTAAAAGAGGATATCTCTTTTTTTTGCCACCAGGAACACTTAAATGAAAGACCCTGCAGAAATATAACAGAGAAGAGAATAAATCTCTTAGTATTTTTTACAGTTATTTATTGAATGAGTTTCAAGAGTTTCTGATCAAAGATCTCATGAGTTATTTATTGCCAGCTACCATAGGATTTGACAGATCTACCAGGTAGGTAAGTACCTGTGGTCCTCCCTGTAAGATACATAGGGAAGTATTCCCAAGAGGAACTTGACTGACTAAAAAAACCACTTTAAACCAAAAATGAAACAAAAGTCAGCAAGAGTGCTTGTTGTGCTGTATTGGGTTTACATGGCCAGGTTTTGGTAATGGGGGGAGGGGCTACAGGGGTGGCTTCTGTGAGAAGCTGTCAGAAGCTTCCCCCATGCCTGACACATCCAATGCCAGCCAGCTCCAAGACGGAACTGCCGCTGGCCAAGGCGAAGCCCATCAGTAATGGCAGTAGTGTCTCTGTGATAACATCTTCAAGAAGTGGGAAAAACCTGCGCAATTGCAGCCAAAGAGAGGAGTGAGATGATGTGACAGGAACAACGCTGCACTGGAGCAGAGATTCCCCTGTAACTTGTGGTGCAGACCATGGTGAGGCAGGCTGTCCCCCTGCAGCCCATGGAGGTTAATGGTGGAGCAGATGTCTACCTGCAGCCCATGGAGGACCTCACGCTGGAGCAGGTGGGTACCCAAATGAGGCTGTGACACCATGGGAAGCACGTGCTGGCAGGAGCATCAGATTCCTGTCAGGACCTGTGGCCCCATGGAGAGAGGAGCCCATGATGGATTAGGTTTGCTGGCAGGACTTATGACCCCACAGGACACCCATGCTGGAGCAATCCGTTCCTGGGGGTCTGCACCATGTGGAAGGAACCCACATTGGAGCAGCTAGCGAAGAACTGCCGCCCATGGGAAGGACCCACGTTGAGAAATTCATGGAGGACTCTCTCCTGTGGGAGGAGCTGGGGCTCCACACTGGAGCACAGGAAGGGTGTGAGGAGGAAGGAGCAACAGAGACAATGTGTGATGAACTGACCGCAATCCCTATTCCCCGTCCCCCTGTGCTGCTGGGGGGAGGAGGTAGAGAAAATTGTGAGTGAATTTAAGCCTGGGAAGAAGGAGGTGGTGGGAGGAAAGTGTTTTTAAGATTTGGTTTTATTTCTCATTACCCTGCTCTGATTTGATTAGTAATAAATTAATTTTTCCCCAAGTTGAGTATGTTTTTCCCATGACTGTAATTGGTGAGTGATCTCCTTGTCCTTATCTCGACCCATGAGCCTTTCATTTTATTTTCTCCCTCCTGTCCAGCTGAGCAGGGGAGTGAGAGTGGCTTTTGTGGGCATCTGTCATCCAGCCAGGGTCAACGCACCACATATGCTCATTTATCCATCTCCAAAATCCTTAAAATTCACCCCTAGCAAAAAATTACATCAGGTAATACGCTCATTCCTTGAGTAACAAGACATAATGGCAAACCATCTTTGAAAGGACATTAATTAAAGAGCTTAAGGAATGTGATCTCTTATTCCACTACATTACTGGTAACACTCCACTATTTTGTTATTATTTTCCCTGCACTGCATTTCACGGAACAAACTGGAAAGCTGCTCTGCTTCCCTGGCTTGAGTTCACTCTGCCAGCACTACACAATAGGCTGCAAGCAGCAGAAATGTGGGACTGAGCAGCTTCCATCATTCAATGCCCTGCAGACCCCCCAATGATGTTCTACTACCCGAAGGTGTCATAATTGCAGTTGTCCTAACCAAAACTGTTATCATGGCACACATTTTGTGCCCCTATAGGTTTGGGTTTTATCCTTGTCAGTTTTGCAACAAATAGCTTCTTCACTCCCTCCAGTTTGAGAGATATTTTCACAGCTACTTGGATATCATTATTTCTAACCAAAAATCATGAAATAATATTTGTTATATTGAAAACTAGAAGTTACACTCCATACTATTTATTTTTTATTTTTACTACTTTGATACTCACTTAAAATTTTCAATAACCAAGAAGCCTTTGCTGGTTTGGGGTAAATTACTATGATATCAGATCAAGGAACAAAGAAGTTACTCATAGATATAATGAGTTAGCGGACTGAAGGGAGAGCAGAAGGCCTCCTGGGCTGTCTCCAGCACATCAGCAGTCATCATCGCATCGCATCAGCCACGCTCTGTGGCTAGTGACCAACAGCACTGGTCTTTCACAGGGTGAAGCTGGTAGAGAATGAAGCAGAAAGCCAGCCTGTGCCCACGCAAGGACAGTTAGCTAGAGCTTGCTAGCTGCAGTTTGACAGCTATTCAAGTACAAATGCAGCTCTAAGGCTCCAGAATTTAGGAGTTTTTTTTTTTCCTCCTTTTTTTTTTTCTTTTCTTTTTGACATAACATTCTGGTCTACAACCTTGAAAGCCAAAGAGAAATCACGTACCACCCCCTCTTTTGTCATAAATGCAAATATTAGGACACTAAATGCTTTCTGTAGTGGTCTTGGATTTCTTTTTCCTGTTAAAGATGATATAATTATAACCCTTATATAATCACAAGGATTGGGACTGTTAGGATGACAGAACAGCCTCTTTAAATATCATCAAATATAGCATAATTCTAAAATTTACATTAACTAAGTAACAGCTGAACTTACTGCTGCTTAAACTTACTGCTGTCCAGGTGTGGATAAAATCTCATCTCCTCAGAAAACATGATCTACTAAATGAGCCAATACAAAAAATAATTTTAACATTAGCTGATTTAAAACTGGGGACTCATAAAGTGGTAATCAGTAAAAAAAAAAAGTGAGAAACCTAATGGAACTAGTGAGAGATAATTATAATTTAGAACTATTAGAGCTATTTCCCTTGCCTTAGTCAAATATACTAAACTGCAGTACTCAAACACATAACTTTTACACTGAGAATTAATCTAGTAACAGTCAAGACTAGTGAACAGCAGATCCTTTCAATATTCCAGTGTTAAACCTAATGAAGCAACTTTCTTGAACTCTGGATCAGGTTCTCACAGACTTTGGTTATGCTCAAACACAGTATATGGTTGATAGAGTGGTCTGCTTGCAGGAGACAAGCAGAAATTTAAGCACAATCAAGAAAAACACAAGAATTCAGATTCACATTTCTGCAAGCTTAGAAAGAAAGGGATTCCAGAAGTGAGACAGGCCCATGCTACACTGGGCATATAGGGGATGAAGAAAAGGATGCAGCTGAGAAATAGCCCAGCCACTTGCATCCATCTGGAATACACATGGTATCAATTAGTTCTGGTAAAACTTTTACATTCAGAGCACATCCTGGCCGGCATTACAACTCCAATTTTGTCTGGGTCTCTCCTGCAGTCCAGGCACAAGGTATCTACCCAGGTTCCTCCAGGAGAGCTGTTGTCTGCTCAGTGAGGTAGCCAAGAAAGTGCCTCTGCAACATAAAAATGGGAAGAAAAGCTGAAGCAGCCTCTTCCCATTGAGCAGGCCCAATGGCCTGCCAAATCTCAGGTGAAGGCAAGCCTCTCAGATTTCTGCCCTGGGAACCTCACAGTTCAGCTGCAAGCTTTACATAAAGGTAGCTTTAGTTGAATTAGAAATGGATCCTTTTAAAAGCACAAGACTATTTAATCAACTAAGGAAAGGCTCAGAGAATCAACAGTTTGAGGAACTGCTGGATATATGCATGGTACAACACTGCAGTAACAGCATCTGGTCGTCTTCCATGTACATCTGTCCAGAAGACTCCAGCCTTTCCCACCTGAATCTCCAAACTCCCACATCTTTCAAAACACTGCTGCTGCGACTTGTTTTGGATCCATTTGCTCTTGACCCAAACTCATAGGATCTGGATCGGTATCTTGTTTTGTGAGAGATTTGACATCTCTCACGTAATGAGGAAGAAGTGTCAGTTGGCTCTTGCTGGGAGCAGCTGCAGAAGCGAAAGAAAACTGCTTACTCCCTAAAATGAAGGCAAATTAATCAGGCTGGTCGGTTATCATCTGTTCTCATTTGTCTGAAATAGCAGAGGAGCAAATTGGAGATACAGGATTTCCTGAAAGCTACTGGAAGCATTCAGATTATGCTCCAGTTTGCTGATTCTTATCCCACAACAGGGAACTGAAAGAGATACCCCAAACCACAGCACCAAATGAAGAAAAACAAACAAACAATAACCACACCCCCAAAAAGGGCCTCAAAACTCCCAGCTGAATGGCATTAACAATTCTAGCAAAAGCCTGATGCCCAGATTGGTAGTGTCTTAAGGTTATGACACTACAAAAGATTTTGTATCATTATGGGCCAACATCTGCACAAAATTATCAACACTACATTTGCTGCTCAGGCAGAAATTTCACTGAAGGCTGAGGGAGGAAAATACTCTTCGCTTTTCTCAGATCCAGAGGTGCTCATTTCAAATCAGCACTGGAAATTCACCCTGTAGTTGCTACTTAGCTTATACCTGCTCCGTAAGCATACACTTTGGTCTCCAGAGATAAGTCTGTCATTAGGTAACTGTCACAATTTTCTTTATTTAATAAAATAAAATCCTCCTCATTTTCTGCAATATTCTGTAATATTTTTTACCATACAGCTCCTCAAGGTGACTTATTTCAGGAGAAAAAATGAAGTAATGAGTTTGAACAGCTCTCAGACCAATGCTTGCACTTGCAGCAATCCAAATGGAAGAGATGACAGTGCCAGCCTTTCTTCCAGTGTAAAATGCAGTCAGTTGAATCAAATATTTTAAAATGCCAAAAATAGAAACCTGCTTTGTGGAGAGTAAGGGTTGGCATCAGCTGCAACTAAAGCATTTGTTACACTTCATAAAATTGGCAGAAATGATTTAATTTTCTTTTTTAGAACATGAGGTTTTTTAAGCAGCATTCCTGACAGTTTTTCCCTACTGAATCTATTTTAAGAGTTAGTTAACACATTAGACTGAAAAATAACTACCACAATATATCTTCTTTTGATCACAGGTCAATTTAAAGTTAAAGAAGATCAACACCAGTTTTCCTTCCTCACAAAACACAGTTTGAGTTGTGGCTTTGTGGAAAAGATCACTTTCCATGACTGTAGGAAAGGGGCAGAGAAAAGCAAAGAAATGGTGGGAAGTGGCAGTGGCATCCAGCCTTCTATGGGGCTTCACAGTCAAGGTGAACTCAGTGGAACAGAATTAACTGTTTGTGTCTTCAGTTTACACTGCAAATGTGTTGCATCTGGCAGAAAAAGGGCACCAAGTTTAGCATAGGAAGGAGCAGACCCCTCCAAGTCCCGCAGCCCTGCTTAAGAGTCAACTCTGTTTTGGCACAGTGGCCCATCTTCTGCATCACAGGACTTCTTATGCTCTACTCCACTGACAAATGTTGCTCTGCGGGGAGCAATAACTAAATTTTAGCAGGCACAGCAGCGTTGTACTACAGGGCTTCCATATCCCGGTCTCAGGTAGCTTCTTATTATTTGCTGCTAGTGTGTATCTGCAACAGAGTCTGTGCCTAGGAAATCAGTCCAAGTCCCTTCCCCTGTGCCTTTCAGAATTTCTTTCTACTTAATCAGATTAAAGAAACTGCTGTGTCAGATCAGCAGCACAGAGAAAAACACCTGTCGGGCAGATCTGTCATTAACCTGCAAGCAACGAGCCTAGCTCTGAAGGTCCCTGAGAGACATGCAAGTGTCTGAAGGAGGAATAAGAGCCCTCCATGGACCTGGAAGATGAAGGAAAGATAGCAAAATTGTGGCACTTCACTCCCCAGTCTGCACAGCATATGTCAAAAATATTTAAAGTTTCATGATACTATTATTAAAAAAAGTATTAGTAACAGTACTCTTCTACCAGGTCTTTGAAAAAAAAAAAAATCAAAAATCTGTGGTACCTTTTAGAGTAGGGTATTTTTAACAGATTTATAGAACTTCAAATTGTTGCTGTTTTCTTAATAGAACACCTAATGTGCTGGCATTTAGATTGACATGCAAATGAAAAGGGCAAATTAAATAACTCTCAGATGGTGGCATCACTCATGCCCAATCTTGTCAGCCCTGAGTAGGTGAATATTAGCAGGGAAGGACTGTGAAGCTCCAATTTACCAATACAAGAGGCCGAGTGAGAAAAGAAGCAGTTAATAATATAAAAAACCCCTACTTGATCAGGTGTGACAAGAAATCCTCTGTGAGAAGAGGGAAGCAAAGGGATAGGATGCCAGAAAGATCTCAACATCCTCACTGCCCATACCGACAACTTAGATTTTATAATATATACTATGCAGTTTACACCACTGAAGAGAGGGCCTGCCTAGCAAGGTGAAGATCTTTATAATCTGCCAGACCAGAGCCTTTTGGAGAGAAGGAATAGGGAGAAGATATCTGTTCCTCACCCAAAGCACTGCTGTGTCCAGGCTGGTAAGCCTCGCAGAGTACTGCCTGTGTTAGACCTAAAGGTCCCTCCTTCTGCATGCAGCACAGAAGAGTATATCTAACAAAACACTCACTGAAGCATACTGCCATCACAAACTATTTAACAAATAAATTAAAAAACATAAGGGAAAGTGACTCACAGAAGTTATTTTCAAGTAAATATCCAGTCTGCATAGGATATTTAAATCTGTTTTCCCCAGCAAAACAGTTTGTCTATAAACTGCAAGACAACTTCAGTGTGAAAAAACAGCCATGTGAAAAACACCAAAAACATCAGGGAATTAAGGAAGGGACAGTAGTGCATAACCATGCACATAAACCCTAATAATGCTGAAAGAAACTGTAATTTAGAATTAATTTTTTTTTTCTTTCTAAATTTTGCTACTTTGAAGGAAGACCTCTAGATCACTTCAGCAGATGCAAAAAGTTATAAGAGAAGCTAGAAAGTTATTGTACTTGGTAGACAATAATACAAGAAAATAATAGAGACAGTATTAAAGTATTTCTTATAAATATTAGAAGTCCCTAGTTAAAAATATCAGAAAGCCCAGTGGAATCTTAAAAAGCACATTTAATTTTTGCAAAACATGTTTGTAAATTTTCAAACTATATCGAAAAAGCAAGCAAGCAGAGCTTTTAGCCCTGCTTAGTGATCATTTCCCAGCATATAACAAGTCATATAAACTCCCCAAATTCTCTGGGCTTGCCAATCAGTCATCCCTAGATGCAAAGTATACTGTTACTTACCTGGTATTGCAATGACTGACCATGAAAAGATTAATTCTGAAACAGTGATCAAAGTGGTGATATGTATCACAATGCCCCATATTATCATGAAGAAATATCAGCTGTATTGCCCCTCAATATACACTGGGAAACAACCTACTTTATACCCGCATTTAGCTGGACCTGATAGGTGTATGAGGCAATTACTGTCTGCCTGACTATAAAGAATGAGCATGGACATACCAGGAATTAAACAAAACACCAAGTTGCATCTCTCACATTTGTCAGGTACACTTTGCATTTTTGTGATCAAAGACTAAAAAAATTGGGGATTGACAAAATGACATTAAATCTTATTGAATTATTCCTTTTCTCCAAAGAGAGAAGGTGAGAACAAAATGGATAAGAAACGGGACCTGCTAATGATAGTGTCAAAAGCCTGATCCAGCCAACAAATTTTATCATGCAAATGGCAGCAAGCGAGGTTCTTGCAGAAATTGCTTCTGCATTAAGTATGGTTGCTTATACTGGCTCTGTGATATACCAGTGGATTTAGTCATGCTCACGTTCATCTTATTATTTAAATACTACAGGATAACACTTGATAGACATAAACTGTTGAAGCGGACAATACCAAATGTTTTATATTATACTTTTTAAAGGTCATTTTCCACCTAGGATATAAAAATAATGTTGCAGGAAAACAAAAAAGGCATCTTGAAAGCAAAGATTTATTTGCTTGGTATACCAGAAATGCACAGCATTTCTTACAAGCACAGCACTTTAAAAGGCATAAATTGTTTAGAGATTAGTCTGCCTTGCCAACTGTATGTACAGGGCCAGAAGTCCCAGAAAAGCAGGTGCTATTTCAAAGCACAGCTGAGGTCTCCAAAGTTTCTGAGGGACTGGGATGCTCAGCTCCAATTAAAATTTCAACCTGAGGCAGCTTCAAGAGCTCCACTAAGCCAGCATCTGTACAAATAAAAGTTTATGTTGAGCATATTGCTCATGATTTTGCAAGTGTGGATTGCATGTTTAAACTTAATTCTCAGTATGGCTGCAGGTCAATGTTTCTTGCCCATAAACAGAAGCTGTCTTCAGCAGTCTCAGTTGTCAGGTACAAACACTAGTAGACATGTCTTTTAAAACTGTAAGGTTTAAAGAACAGCATCCTCTCTGCAAAAAGAAAGCATCCTTTGCATTAGGCACTCAGATGCATCGCATTACACAAATACTTATTTTCTTAAGTACAGTTCTATAGCAACAAACAGCACACACAGTCACAGGCATTTTCTCATTGTCAAAAAGGTCCTGTGTCAAGTTTCAGGAAAAAATGCTCTCTCTTTCACACACGTACACACACCTTTCCCTGGAAACTTGAAATAAGCAAAGCAGTTACACAATATTCTACCAAAGAATTGGTATCTTACACAGAAGATTTGTGATTTCAGGATAAAACCACTGAGACCAAGCTGCTACAGCAGCAATATTTCACTATAAAGACACCATATATACAATGTGATAAAAATTCAAACTCACTGTTAGCATTCCAGTTTTACAAGTACCTGCTATTCAGTAACGGGTGTTTACTGCATTTGATTCAAAACAACATGCTGCTACCAACAAAAAAAGAAAACAGAGAAGTGATGAAAAAAAACCAAGCAAGCAACAAGAAAACAGAGTTTAAGAGATTCATCGATATTCAAGAGCAAAAGTAACAGCCAATCTTAGTAATGCTTTCAGTTTGGTTGAAAAAGTTTGTATTACCTGTCGACTTCCCTGCTTGGAGGAGCAGCTGCTAGTACTTCTTGAAGGAGACAACATTTTCTGGGATACACCAAAGCTTTTTTCTTCACTCATGATGCAATACCATTTGTTTCACATAAGCTCACTTAGAACACCGTTAAAAGGTAATTTAGAGAATGTGTTGGAAGACTCTCGAGAGAAATGCAGAACCCATCCTTTACCCAAATGCAGTCCAGTAGTATGATCTGCATCCCATGGAAATTCCTAAAAGGGAAAAGAAAAACAAAAAGACAAGTTATCAGACACCATCTCTTACTGCCATCCTGTAGCATAGGTCATGAAATCATAATAAAGCCTTTGGTAATAGAAGCTGACCGCTTTACTGTAACTGTTAGAAACTGATTCAACAATCACTTTAAGATAAACTTTCAAGCCTCAAACAGGAACAATAAAAATTTTAGATCCTAAATGCATGCCTTAATTACCACTATGTATTCAGAGGAAAAAGTACACAATTTAAATTAAATAATCTGAAAAAAGGATTAATAAAGACATACACAGAGTATAATAATTATCTATATAAAAAGAACCAAAATACTCTCAAAATGAGAAGAAAACATCTAATAAAATGCTTCACAAAAAGAATGATGAGTAACTCAAAAAATATCTCTTTTTCCCAGTTCCCTGATAATTTATAAGTGCATGGCTTCAGGTTGTAAGGAAAAAAAAAAGAAATCTCTAAAAGAGCAATACATAAAAGTAGTGAACATATAAACTCAGCTGCATAGAGCTGTGCATGAGCACTCTTACCTGGAATAATAAAGTTGCAACTATTGTCACATCAGTTGTCTCAGTCAGTGACTGGAAGAATAATTAACTGTCTGTTTAATAACAGTGCCGCTTGCAGCATATGCAAATAAAAGCCAAGACAGAAACTCCCACTAACGGATTTCCAGTGTAGGCAAGATCTGTCATGGTAACTGCATTTCTTTTTTAAAATCAAAGAGAGGACACAACAAAAGTTTTGCTTTCCAAAACTTGGGGTGGTGGAGGAACTCTATGAATTGGGTATCACTTCAGATTTTATTGTCTCAGGCAAGGAATCTGCACATTAGGGAGAGTACAGGAACCACCACTGAGGAAGGTAAGGAAGTTTCCACAAAAAAGACATTTCATTGCCGAAACAAGGAGGCACGACTCCACAACCCCCCCACTTGCACTGTCAGAACACTCCTGAACTGGGCTCTCTGGTCACTGAAGTTTGCCATTCATTTCTTCTTGAACATTAAAAATTTATTCAGAGAGAAGCAGCATTTTAAGATCCCTAGTAAAACACTTTGTGCATTTCAACAGTTTGTTTTCCAAAAAAACCCAAACCCAACCAAACCCAAAAAACCCAACAAGAACAACCACCAACAAAACCAGGTGCTATACTTAAGATGAAGACAACGGTATGCTGCAGAAAATCTCTTTTCCTACTGCTGTGGTCTGAAGCATCCAACTTCCAAACAAAGACCTTTTCCAATTAACAGTGTCTCTTTGGCAATATAGTTTGCTGTAACATGTCAACCAACATGCCCTCTTTTCACCTAAACAAAGTCTCTCTCTATGGCATTTACGTTACCTAGTTAGAAACACTCAATTACCTCCAGAGCAAACCTATGCTCAGCAACATGAAAGAAACGGCCCCAGTCTCCAAAAGTCAGGTGAGAAAGCGAGCCCCGCTGGGCCTCTTTCACTGCTGAGTCAGCTAGGCAATTATTTCCAGGGACCATCAGACAGGTACAAAGCCAGCAAGCACAACGCAAGAGCTGCAGGAAACCAGAACAGCACAGCGATGTGACAACAAGGTCTCAGTTGGGACTAGCGCAAGGGTTTTACACTAGAATTGCTACTGCGATTAGGAGTGGTGTGTTTTGGAGAAGGTGTAGTCCTATCCAGAAGTTAGGAAGGATGGATCAAGAGCAGCCTTGAGGAGAAGGATTTTGGGGTGATGGTTGATGAGAAGCTACACATGAGCCAGCAATGTGTGCTCGCAGCCCAGAAGGCCAATGACCATATCCTGGGCTGCATCAAGAGAAGTTTGGCCAGCAGGTTGAGAGAAGTCATTCTGCCCCTCTACTCTGCTCTGATGAGACCTCACCTGGAGTACAACATAAGGAGGACACGGACCTACTAGAGCGAGTCCAAAGGAAGGTCACGAGGATGATCAGAGGGCTGGAGCACCTCTCCTATGAGGACAGGCTGAGAGAGTTGGGGCTGTTCAGCCTGGAGAAGAAAAGGCTCTAGGGAGACCTTATTGTGGCCTTCCAGTATGGAAGACCTTTTCACAAGGGCAGGTAGTGACAGAACAAGGGGTAATGGCTTTAAACCAGAAGACAGTAGATTTAGATGAGATACTAAGAAGAAATTATTTACCGCGAGGGTGGTCAGACACTGGAACAGGTTGCCCAGAGAAGCTGTGGATGCTCCTCCCTGGAAGTGTTGAAGGCCAGGTTGGACGAGGCTTTGAGCAACCTGGTCTAGTGGAAAGTGTCCCTGCTGATGGCAGGGGGACTGGAACTAGATGATCTTTAAGGTCCCTTCCAACCCAAACCATTCTATGATTCTATGAAAATAAAATTGTGTGGCATGTCATTAAGGACTAGCACTTCAAATAGGTTTAGATTTATCTCACTTTACACAGGTTTATTAACTGTGGAGTAAGATTTAAGTCATACACTAGATTTAAGTCATACAATACCCTTTACCTGTTTGAACACGCAGCAAAATGGTTCTGATGTCCTGTAAGTGTCAATTAACTGAAAAAAAACCCCAAACAAAAAACAAACAACCCAGAGGTCTCATGGACTTTAACACACAAAGAAGCCATATAATCAGAAGAGTATTTCTATCAACATGTTTTTAGTGCAGAGTCTAAATAAAATTAAGGTGTGGCAACATTAGCATTTTAGGACAGAGTAGAAGGGCACTTCCCACTACAAATATCCTGGTCCTCCCCTCTTTAGGTTTGCACTGCAGGGCAGTTTTGGAGCATGGAAACCAAATCTCTTGGGATGAAATGTGGAGTGCATCCAGTGCTCACAGCATTGAGTCCACAGCACCAGACCAGAGCAAGTCCTAACTAGTCCCATCCTGGTGTAGATGTTGGGTCTTCACCTTTAACCAATTCACTACAAAGGTCCACTTTCACTGCACTGCTCTACCTGCTAACATTGATGCATCGAGACGCAGACTTACGCCACCTAAGTGAGTACTTAAGATCTCCTAGGGCAATGATATTTGTCCTTTTGCAATGAGAAAGAGAGAAAGATGGGCACTTTTCCAGAATTCCAATGAGCTGAAAGTGAGTCAGGCACCTAACCAGAGGTGCTTGAACAAGGGGCAGGAGACAGTTGAGGTAAATCTGACAGAGAGCACCTGAAATATTGTCAGTATACTTTCAAAATTGGACTTTTGAATTTTCCTTTATTCCTTCAAATTAATTTACTACATGGACTGAAGAAAAGGCTTTTGTTACCAGCCCTGAAGAAGGCAGGAGAGAAATGTGCTCTTTCTCCAAAGTGTTTTATTATTATTTGATTGGTGTTTCCCATTAATTTAACTTATTACCTTGAGACTTCCAGATTTGAAACTGAAAGTGTATGTGAATAATGAACATGGACCCAACTCATCTGTGAAAACTGCTGCATGCTTCAGCAACTACTCTGTCCTCCTTTTTAAAAATTCTCTTCAAGTTTAGTAAGAAAAAAAGAAGACTCTGGTTGCCTTTCAACAACAATCCACTTACTCTTCCAGGCAGGTGTGAAAACTGCATCCCAAACTCTCTCATATTCTGGCTTGCAGCAGTGACTGCGCCTCTCTATGGTGACTGATATTTTACACTACCTGTGGAACTTCAAGCTATCAGGTACAAGAGCAATTACAGCTTTAAAGCAGGTATAAAAATCAGTGTTACACCAACTAAGCTAAGATTGCAGCTAAAATTGATGTTTTGAGGTCATCATGATTGAACTGCTTCAGGTTCAACACATTTTGTTCCCCCTCATGCCACAGGACAGCCTCAGAACTGTGTTCCCACCTTTTCCGAAGCACAAAGTGCCACTTACTTCTGTCTACTCCAAAAAGACAAATAAAAGGTGTGATGCTTAGGTAAATACAAATAAATTTAGGACAGGAATTTTCACAAATGCTAAGTAATAGCCTAATTCTCCTCTATCAAGTCAACAGTGGCATAAGTAGGCCAAGAGTACTTTTGCAAATGACCTCGCCAGGTGCATTTTAAAGAATTAAGAATACATAAGTATCAACTATTATTTATAGCTACTACATCCTAAACCCATAAACAGCACTTATCTCTACTTATCATCTGTTACTAAGAGCCTTATCATTCTACATCAATTAAAGCTAATGTAAACATAGTTGTCCTCAAACCTTTAAAATTGCACGGATTCAAAGCAACCTCTCAGTATCACAATTCAACTCTTACAACTCTCAAATAATAAGTTTACAGCAAAATCCAAGTTTTTCCACATCTCATAAAAGAAGAAAGACAGAAATTCAGAAAAAAAAAAGGAAAACTGCAGTAAAAATTCAACCATATGCAATTATTTTTGTTACAGCTCTGGAAGAAAAATAAAACCTTTAACAGCTGCTTCTGAGCTGATTCAGCAGTGAAAGAACACTGAAGAGAGATTTTGAGCATACATCTCATTCTGTAACTGTAGTGAGTTCAGGTTTTGTGGCTAGAAGAATAGGAACAACAGAAAGTCTGACGAGAGTGTCCTGGTTTTGCTAGGATAGAGTTAATTTTCTTTTTAGTAGTTAGAATAGCTGTGTTTTAGGTTCAGCA